CATTACGGATCAGTGTCAGATGTTTATGGTATTTTATTGATACAAGAAGTTGTGTGCAGAGTATAATGTGTATGTATGGTAATGTAGTATTAGTGGTATATATAGCATTAGTCGTCTGACTTTCATAACTCTGGTGTCTCCTCATTTGCGGATAAATCTTTCGCCTTTTACTAAAGATTTCCGTGGGGAGGCACAATACAATGAGTCTTAACTCATTTTTTCCAACTCCGTCCTTGCACGGAGTATTATCAAACAATATAGATAACATACTGTGACCATGCATGCGCCAAACTTACCAACTACTAACTTACTTACTTACTACCGGTCGATCAAATCATCCACTCTTATCAACTATCTCACTAATAATAACACACACTCTTCAATCAACAAACAATCGTCATCATCATCTCATCATACACACTAACTAAGCCTACACAATCAACCCAACCATCACCTCACCTGATAACACTTACAATACAGATTAATCAGAATCCACTCATTAATCACTCACTCCTATCACTATACTAGATCACCACAACTAATTGCTTCATAATAATGTGTCAATTGTCGACAGTATCAATTCAAACTGTAATTCGTGATTATCATTACATGTGGACTATTGAATCAAATCATCACCTAAGTTGAATTCAATTCCAGTGTGTGTAATGATGAATAATCCAATGTGTATTTACTGAGCACGCAGGTATTACTCCCTCTTTCCATATTAAATATGCTCGTTCACTTGTTCCTGTTGATGTGTGTCGATCTGCATCTATGAGTGTCTGAAATAAATTGACTATTGATTGGCATGTGAATCGGGTGTAAATGGTCGGATAGAAACGGTGTTGGTAAATTTTGATGAGAAACTCTATATCCTACTGAAATACAGTAGATCAGCGACGGTGTGTATGTTGTGAACGTATGGAATGGCTGAAATTGTGTTTACCGTGTGAATAGTTCAAATGTTTGATGAGAATATTGTACGAAATGTAGCTGGTCGTGTTTATTGTTTGGTATCAGTGTCAGATGTTTATGGTATTTTATTGATACAAGAAGTTGTGTGCAGAGTATAATGTGTATGTATGGTAATGTAGTATTAGTGGTATATATAGCATTAGTCGTCTGACTTTCATAACTCTGGTGTCTCCTCATTTGCGGATAAATCTTTCGCCTTTTACTAAAGATTTCCGTGGGGAGGCACAATACAATGAGTCTTAACTCATTTTTTCCAACTCCGTCCTTGCACGGAGTATTATCAAACAATATAGATAACATACTGTGACCATGCATGCGCCAAACTTACCAACTACTAACTTACTTACTTACTACCGGTCGATCAAATCATCCACTCTTATCAACTATCTCACTAATAATAACACACACTCTTCAATCAACAAACAATCGTCATCATCATCTCATCATACACACTAACTAAGCCTACACAATCAACCCAACCATCACCTCACCTGATAACACTTACAATACAGATTAATCAGAATCCACTCATTAATCACTCACTCCTATCACTATACTAGATCACCACAACTAATTGCTTCATAATAATGTGTCAATTGTCGACAGTATCAATTCAAACTGTAATTCGTGATTATCATTACATGTGGACTATTGAATCAAATCATCACCTAAGTTGAATTCAATTCCAGTGTGTGTAATGATGAATAATCCAATGTGTATTTACTGAGCACGCAGGTATTACTCCCTCTTTCCATATTAAATATGCTCGTTCACTTGTTCCTGTTGATGTGTATCGATCTGCATCTATGAGTGTCTGAAATAAATTGACTATTGATTGGCATGTGAATCATACAGGACGCAGTTATTACTTTCTGTTTCATTACTAAAAGCTGTGAGTAAAATGTTAGCGATGAATGAAATTCAAGAAATACCGAGGAGGTATATATATTTATTATTTAAATGAGATTTACAAAGATCCAGTAATTTATATTTACAGAAAAATTGAAGAGAATAGTACGTGTGCTCATATTGTACCAAACTCTTTAAGTAGCTTGATCTTTGAAAGTGTTTGTATAGGTCGTTGATAACATCTTACTTGTCCGCCAGTCAATTTCTGTAATTTTCCACGTGAAACATTGATTAACTAAATTGAAAAGTGAACAGTATGAACATACAATTAACTTAAGATCATAAGTAAATAAAGAAGATAATTAACTTATAAAATCAAAGTTTAGTACTAAGTGAACGATTAATGATACCATCAAGGAAATGTAGAATACAGAATATTGATCTATCAGAATCCTACTGGTATATTGTGAAAGCATAGAATGTACATATGACAATAGGAGACTGATCAATTTCAGTACTTAACATCAATGGGAAGATTCAAATAACCAATACAAAAATTGAATTAAAGTTCACCCTATTACACAAGCTACCGGCTGCAAACATGCTCCACACTCTATTCAGGAAGATTCGAGAGGAAGAACAAATGCTGATGGATTGGAAAGAAGGATACCTTACCAATATACCAAAGAAAGGAGATTTGAACAAGTGTGAAAACTACAAAGGAATCACAATACTGTCTGTACCAAAAAAGTTTTCAAGAGTGTTGCTGAACCGAATGAAAGACTAAGTAGACGCTTTACTACGAGATCAACAGGCTGGATTCCGTAAGGATCGGTCGTGCACAGACCAAATTGTGACACAACTGATCACCGTTGAACAATCAATTGAATGGAACTAGTCACTATACATCAACTTCATTGATTATGAGAAAGCATTCGATAATGTGAATAGAACATTATAGAAACTTCTTCGACACTGGAATACCTGAGAAAATTGTTAACATCATCCGGAATTCATGCGACGGATTACACCGCAAAGTGATGAATGGAGGACAGCTGACAGACACATTAAGTAAGGACCGCATTCAGACAATGCTACCTCTTCTGGTGGTTGACTGAATTATGAAGACCCCCACATCTGAGGGGAAGCACGAAATAAAATGGACAGATTGGATGCAACTAGACGACTCGGACTTTACAGATTATGTAGGTCTTCTATCCCGTACACATCAACAAATGTAGGTCAAAACAAACAATGTAGCAACAGTCACTGCATCAGTAGGCCTTAACATACACAAGGGAAAAAGCAAGATCCTCAAATACACAGGGAACAAGAACACAAACACAGTTGATGGAGAAACTCTGGAAGAGGTGGAAAGTTTCACGTATCTTAATAGGTAGACAAATCAAGGAAATAATACTATCTATGATCAATTTTAAGTACGCTTGCTCCTACATTCACTGACAATCAAAGTTAAAATTGACAGATATTGTTACTTTATTACTTTTAGTATGTTCAACCAAAGCGTTTCTAAAGAATTACAAAATAATCTTTCATATTATTCTCTCATATAAATGTAATGAAGTATCGATTTCGTAGACAACACCCCCACTGCGAGAAGGCAGTCAGTAAGACATCCCCGACGCGTGGCCATGTGAATCATTTCTAGAAGGAGAGCTGACTCCCTCCACCCTCGGTCGTATCAGGGCATTTGGGAGCCGAAAAGTGAATGTCCGGCGCGTTAGCCGGGTTGGTGGACACGGAGAGTCTACCTAGGGGAAGTGGAAAACCCTCATTCCAAACCAATATTGCATATGGGCTGGCTCCAGGATCCTGAGGGAACAAATGGCATATGAACCAATCGTTGGTCACCGGCTACCATGGAACAGTATCTCCTCACGTTGCTCCACTGTCTTGAGGATCAGACCTTTAGGTCGAAGGCTCCGGGTGTGACCCCCTAGGGATACCACCTGCCTCGATCTGGACACCTGGGAAGTATCATAGCCCATACACAAATCAAGTGACTTGTGTGGCGCATATGTATTCGGTCCCCCCTTGTACCAATATCTATGTGTTCAAATAAATAAATGAAAATTAACTTTTGATGGTGAATATGCTAGACATACTGACAATGTGGCTATAGTTAGTCCTTTAGGATTATTACTGGTTGATAATATTTATGGTATATGTTGACAATTTGGTTGAAGACTGAATTCAAAGATGTGTCTTTATAAACGATATATAGAAGAATTACTTGTTAAACGAAATTAATACACCTCAAAGGTGTATTAATCGTTCATGTTATGAGGAGATAAATAACCATCTCCCTTTCTTAAGTATACTTATTAATATAAAAGACGATTATCCTATCAAACATTTCATTTATAGAAAACCTACATGAACAGAGTAATAACTCAGTTTCCATTGTTACTGATTAAGTTCAGTATAAACACGGGTTAATAAAGGGTTTATTCAATTCGTATTTGCTCTAGTGATACTATTGAAGATGTCAAGTGTTTAACAGAAACATTAGTACAAAATGATTATTCATCAAATCGATCAAAAAGCTAAAAATATGATGAGATCTATAACGCTACTGGTATCCAAAACATATGTCTACATCAACCAACCATTCAGAGGTGAATCAAATGGTTTTATGTTGAAAAGGATGCAACTAGTTCTAATTCTAAGGCAAGTTTAAATTTAGTTATTATCTATTTCAGTCACACATTTGTGTATGCTCGCTCAAACACAAAATTACACCAGAACCTGTAAGTTAACAAGATATAGGAGTGAATCCAAAAACAATGATCAACTGGAAGTGAAAAAACGAACTTTGATACATCGAGAAAAAGACTCTACCTGTAGGTCTTTCTACGGTTACTGACGGTTTCAACACGGGATAAAGGGAGAGGGCTAGGTATGGGGTCAGCAACCCCATCCCGTAGAAAATAACCTTGATAAAAAGAGAACGCTAACCATAATAAACAATTTAAACCACTTAAACTCTGTCTTCATAATTCACGGATCTTTATACAGAACAAATATGACGCCTTATAGTGAAAGCTGAGATTCTTCGGAAGTCAAGAAGCCAATGACCCTCCCCCCCAACGTCGAGGAAAATTTGGATAGATTAGAGATAATTTTAACAACAAGGAAACTTCAGTTTACAACAACCCAAAATTATTGGTATGAAAATATAAATCACTTATCGAAGTATTAAGCTATGAGCTATATTGCTTGTGTATGAAGGCTAGTAATGATACTATTTGACTACTTATATCAAAATAAATGTTACGAGGCTCAAATCCGAAACTTGGTAACTAATAATTCAAGTGTGTAATAATAATAATAACAATAATGTTTAACGAGATCATTCAGTATGCTGATCTGAGGGAGAAATGTAAACTAGCAATAAATTAATTTTTTTACATACTTGACGTAACTCTGACTTTAGTATTTTTGTACTGTCAAGTTTTTTCTTGGATGAGTTCCTTCTGAAAAAAACGGAAAAAAAACACTTGTAACTTTGGAAATATACTTGTGAAAAAGTGTTATATTTGAAAGAAGGATAAGTGAATGGTAACTGTTAGGATCTATTTATGAACTGTTATTATACATATATATTCTTATTATATAATTATTAAGTAACTATACTATACTATACTATTTATATTCTTTTGATTGTAAGTTTACATTTGATTTATTGGCTACTATTATACGATATACTATTCCCAATTTATTAGTAACAGTCTTTTACAATCACAGCCACTTTTTGGCTTGATTATGTATAATTGTTATTTTCTATTTTATGGAATGATGAGGTTTGATTTGCTTGTACATAAACCAAGTATATCTGAAATATATGATTCATATCATAGACGCTGAGTTTGACGTTTTGAACTGAACGGGCAAAGATAGGTGAGAAAGACCAATGGGGATTCAGGGCGATGCACGGCTACTAGTACTGATTGATGTATGATTGGTTTCACACAAGAACAAGGTCATATAAGTTGGTATTCTGATTGGCAATTCTATCACTTCAAAGTCATAATGAAAAGAGTACCAAATAGCATGAAAACTAGGTCCAGCGTTTCCTGTTGACTACCTCCAACTACCATCTTATCTCAACATAGCGCATGTAATGTCGAGTCACTCAGAATAGTGGCCACATTACGTAACCGATAGGATTCGATCTGCACTAAGAAGGACCTGAAACACATGACATTGATCATCACCCAGTGATCAGTCAATTGTGAGGTTATTTACTCTTGAATACATAAAACGATATAGTCTTCTAAATTTAACGAAACTTGAGTGTGCTATGTCGAGGGAATTTAGTAACAGGCAACAATGCACAGTTTCAAACTTCGACATTTCGCAAAAGTACAGAAAATAAAAAAACACAACGAAAGCGGAAAGAATGTTAGGTTTGTTATGCAATTCACTTCTCGATTGCTCGTTACTTTTGTACAATACATCATACTACGTATTAATATTCAGTAGTCTATGTAATATATATATTTATATACATCAACCGGGTCAGTTGTGAGATAGTAACTCACTGATGACATTGGTGGATATGTTGCTCAATTTCGTGGATTAGTTGAAGTTAGACATTAACACCATTGGATGCCGGTTCAGTGTTCTAGTGGTTAAGCGCTCGCGCGCGAGACCGATAAGTCCTGGGTTCGAATCCCGCAAGCGGGATCGTGGATGCGCACTGCCAAGGAATCCCACAGTAGGACGAAACAGTCGTCCAGTGCTCACAGGTTTTTCATGGTGATCTAGCTTCAATTGAAATTTATGTAATATACATTCATTTTGAAACCTGTATTCCTCAATTGTAATAAATTGTCAATCCCAAACATTGTTGTTATTATTATTATTCAATGTTTTAATTCATTTTCTTACTGTTAAAAACATTTTTCACTTCATTTTATCTAGTGAATATCATATATACCACCGAGTCAACCGATGTTCAACTTAAATATCTCGTCTACTTTGGAAGTTCAACGCTCGGTTCTTTCCTTTATGATTCTCCTATCAAAGCATGAAAAATCAGTGGACGATCCTACCAGTCCTAATGTTTTATATTTTGCAGTACATACTTTCTAAATTATTGAACTTTGATAGCAGACACCTAGGAAATCTCTTATTGCTTACGTCCTCTTCTTGAATAGTGTATTATAGATAAACACTAATTTTTCTATGTCGAGATATCATGAATCATTCAATTGTTGAATAAAAATTACTTAAAGGATTCTATTATAAAGACAATAAACAAAAGAAAAAGGAATTGAGATCGAATAGTGTCATTAGATTTCACACATGAAGTATAACTCAAAGACAAGAATACAAATCAGCACTTGGTTAATGAGTTGATGATAATAATAATAACAACAACGGATATATATTTAAATCTCTAGTGTTGAACAGATTATTAATTCAGTAATTAGACTAAGTGACTTGAATATTATGTTATATTTGATAATTTATGACATTATAACAATTATGAATGATGCTTCTACAAGGAATTCTAACTCTGATCCAGTAGAGTTTTATCTTATCATCAAGAGGTATCCAAATTTAAATAGTTTAAAAAGTAATGCTGTTTTTTTTTCTTAAGTAAACCATAAAATGGAACTTACTTTCCACTATTATCCTCGTCATCGCCTAATTTATTATTATTATTATCATCATCATCTAATAGAATGTTGGCATCTTTTGCTGCTTTAGTAAACCAATTATCATTTGCTAGTTGTCGAGAATTTCTATGCTCTTGTATATCAATTTGTTTAGCTAATTTAACAATTTGTTCACTGATATTCAATTGAATAGTTGTTGGTTGAATAATAAAATCATCAAGTTCCAAATCTGGAATAGTTGTATATGGAAAATTTAAAGAATAACTATGTATTATAATTAAAACAAAAAAAAAATCTGGATAATGCTTAACAAGATTAGATAGAATATGAAAAATTCTATTAATGTATTAGACGCTTTAGTGCCGTCAAATGCACTTGTACAGTCGCTTTCCCTCTCCAAATGCTCTCATATGGCCACGCGTATATAGCCTCTCTCAGGGAAGTCCTACTCATTGCCTTATCGCACCACGGGTGTACTTCACGATATTCAGAGGACAAAAAGCAAATGTAAACCGGTTTAACCCCGTTCGTGGACACGGAGAGTCTATCTAGGGGAGTTGGAAAACCCTGATTCCAAACAAATGGTGCACATGGGCTGGCTCCAGAATCCTAAGTGAACAAATGGCGCATGAACTAGTTGTTGGTCATCGGCCACCATGGGACAGAATCTCCTTATGTTTCTTCACCGCCTTCAGGATCAGTCCATTAGGTCAAAGGCTCCGGGTGTGGCCACCTAAGAAAACTACATGCTTCGGTTTGGGCACCCCGGCAGTATCGTAGCCCTGACAGAAATCAAATGAGATTTTTGTGGCGCATGTGTATCTGGTGCCCTCTTGTACCAATATCTATGTGTTCAAATAAATAATTAATTAATTTAGTGTATACTTTAATAATATAACATTGAGAATTGTTTTCAGATAGTGATTACGTATAGTGATCAGATTATCGTTATAAATCACAGATTGTTGCAAATTAAAATTTCAAATTCTCTATCGAATTCTACTCGTTATTATCTTATAGGACAGACATATATAATCAACGTAAAGCTTACGATAAGTTGCTTTAGAACATTATAATGAAGGGATGAAAATAACATGAATGACGAAAAAGATAAAAAATAATTTAGTCTCAATGATAATGAGAAAGATTGGATATTGATAATATGGTTTGAAAAGACATAGTAGAAAGGTATATATGGTGAGAAATCCTAATTCAAGATTGATAGCATGATAAAGAGTGAATGAATCTGTGCTATATCGTAAACGATTCTTAGCCAACTTACCCAATGTCTCCGAACATAGATTGTCGTTATTATGTAGACCATAACCACATAGTCTGCATTTACCAATATCACTTTATGAACTAATACCATGTCTCGATTTAGCCACTACTAGCTTTCAACCCGATTCTACACCAGCAAACATCGCCTGTCAAGGTTGGCTGTTGTTAGACGTATGTAACGCATGTCCTAACCACTACAGATGATGATCTACTTCGACCGATCAATCATGATTATCCGTACCACACACAACCTTTCAATATTCATACCTATTATCCTAAACATTACCTAAAATGTAGTTTCACAATGATCACATGTTAGTTTGTTTATTATATATTTCACAATGGAATAGTATTATTGCTTCTATTTAGCATTATTTCAGACACAATTTATTACTCATAACAAATCATATTACTGCATTAGGTCCAACAAGGCAGAATGCTGACTAGTGTTAGGGGTGGTTGGAAGGAAGTTAGGGGTGACCAAACCAAAACGTGTCATCAGCCAACAAAGTCACTAACTTCTAGTCTGAGCCATGTTGGTAGATGCAGACTAGTTGGTTGGGGTCCACGTGACTATTGTAACCAATGGTTGGAAACTCTAGGTGACATGGATCAGAATCGATCACAATGGAGTAGGTGTATACACTCTTTGTCTCCCCTTAAACTACGAGATTAAAATCGCTTCATGTCTTTCTTTCTTCCTGTACTATGTCCTTATATGCAATCTTTCCTTTATGTATTACCACCTCTGAATTAACTACTTCTATGAATCCGGTGTTCACCTTGTTGTGCTAATGAGGTATGGCAACTTGGACCGATGTATATATGTGCTTGGTCCTACTTTGTAGCTGACTGACTGACTGAGGTTCAATAAGATGGATTGTATTATCTTACAAATAAGGATGTGAGCAACTAAGATTTTAGAACATGAACAGATACACGAAACTTTAAACTATTTAGATTTGTTTATCATGAAGAATATTTAACTTCTTTGATTTAGATGTTTCGTGGTTGTTTATCACTAAATATGTCTAGAAAATTAGTAAAATCCCCATTCCTAGACAATTCACTTATCACTGAAATATGACTACACATTTTCAAGTTTCGAACAATTGTACAGTTTTTTTCCCTAGATTTAAACCAATTCACTCATCAGGTACTTGGATATTAGCCACATACTAAGCGTGACGGCTAACGATACAAACCCGATGCCTAAATCGAAGTATGCACAGTGCAGTTCAAACCAGGAGGTGAAATTCAAACACTTTAACCACTAAGCAATTTCTTTATACAATGAATATAATCAATAGTAAATCTGAAAAGCATGATCAACAGAATAAATAATCCTATTTACAGCATTATCACTTACTAGTTCTTTGAAGACTGACAGCGATTCGACGCCAAAACATAATTTCATTTGGTGAAATAAATAATAAACTAGTCCCTTGACGATTAGCTCTGGCAGTACGCCCTGATCTATGTATATATAATTCAGCTGTACGAGGTACGTCAAAATGTATAACCCATGATACTCCATTTTTTTCAACTATACTATCACTTGATGCTAAATCTAAACCACGAGCAGCTACATCACTAGCGAGTAAAATTCCATTTGGATCCGCTAGAATATGAAAGCATAAGGTATTGAAAAACTGAATTTGAGATGTATACAAACAAAATTAATACAAACAGAAAAAAACTGTTGAATTAGTTTAATTTGCTTGCATGAAAAGAACCAGACTCGATGAATAACTTAATATAATTAATTGAAATTACATGTAAGAATGAAGAAAACATACAGATGGAATAACGAGATATAGTGACATTTGGTGTAATTTTATTTTATTTTATTTGAATACATAAATATTGGTACAGGAGGGTACCAAATATATATGCGCCGCACCGTATTTGTGTGTGTGTGTGTGTGTGGGCCGTGATACTGCCCGGATGCCCAGACCGAAACAGGTGATTTTCTTAGGGGGCCACTCCCCGAGCCTTTGACCTAAATGTCTAACCCACAAGGCAGTGGAGCATCGTGAGGAGATGCAGTCCCATGATAGCCGGTGACCAAAAATTGGTTCATACGCCATTTGTTCCTTCAGGATACTGAAGCCAGCCCATGTGTACCATTGATTTGGTTTGGGATCCGGTTAAAGCGCCGGATATTCGCTTGTTGTCCTCTCAATTTCGTAAAGAACACCTGTAGTGCGAGAAGGCAGTGAGTAGGACTTCCCTGGCAGATGCTGTATACGCGTGGGCGTGTGAGAGTATTTCGAGAGAGAGAGCAGACTCTTCCCACTCTCGGCCATACCAGGGCATTTGGGGGCCATTAGATGTAAAACCGAAACTGAACAGATTAAAGGTATATATAAGTCATTCACAAGTAAAATAGAAACCTGGCACGAATATGGATTAGTTCAACTGACCATAAATTATCTCATCACATAGATAGAGATCATCTGTTTTTTAGCTGACGATAAGTTACCTTTATTATGCACTTTAAATATGGAGATTATATAGTTAAAAATAGAAGTGAACCTAGTCGATGGATTTCATATTATATGTCTGATTATCATAAGGTTTGTTTCATCATAGTTCTGTTCAATACCAATTAAAATAAACAGTTTTAAGCGTGAATAAATTATTTGACGACCTCTATCGGTACAAGTAACTTAGTGATTAAAGCACTTAATTCCTAACCGTTGGGCTAAAGGTTCAAAATACAATCAATTTATTACATTGTAAATAGTCGAATAGGATCACCAACCCTAACGTAATGTCGCTTAAAGCCGAATACATAAACATAAAAAATGAGTTAGACTCAGTAAAGTTCACAACTATAACAACTGATTCATCCCAATAGAACATAACTTCATAAGTTGAAGCAAAAATAACAATAACGACAAACAAGTATTTGTGTTTATTTAAACTTAATGTTCGATTTCATAAAACAGTGAATACTTCTGGTAATGATAAGTTACAATGATATCAATAACGGTGAAATACAACACTGGAATATACCGCCCAAACAAATAGTCGCAGAAATTAAAGGATGAAAACTGAGACAAGAGAGATGACAATTGATCTTCCACAAGCAATGAGATCCTCTAGGAGGATAAAAAAGATATACTACGTAATTCTCATATATTTATATGTATTTTTCTATTGATAAGTTTTGGTCACATTGATCAGATGTTCAATACTAATTTGGACAGAATGAATAGATGTTAAATGTTAAGAACTATTAACACAAGCTCAAATTAATCGATTTTTGTCCATAAGTCCATTGCATATTGAAATTCAGCAATTAATTTGGTAACGTTATGTCAAATAAAAATACAAGACACGACAACAATACATAAAATACCTTGGAACCGTTCAAGTGCGCGTAGTCTTTGCTTCTGAATCATATCAGCATGTAAGACATTTACATACTGTAGTGATGGATATCCAGATACCAAAAAAGCATCTGAACTGAGCAACTGACGTAATACTCCAGCTAATCGACGTACGCCAGATTTACTATTTAGAAAAATTAAGCACCGTCGATTGGGATACTCTGAAGATTCAAGATGACGACCAAATGCAATGAACCAAAATAGTCGAATATCTTTGCTTGCTTGGTCTGGACATAACAACCGACATTCAGAAAGGCTATCAGGGCAAGTTGATTGACAAACTGAGCCGGGATTTGAAGCTGATTGGTTAGTGGAATGGTTTGATGATAAATCGATTACTTTAGCAGATTTTTTCAAACCGAACATTTCACGTAGTACCGCTGAAAGTATAGAAGAACAAATAATCAACTTTATCCAGTAACCATGAAAAGACAAAAGTATTAAACTTTGTATGGAATATACATTAGAGAAAGGGTAGAAATGCGATGGCACAAAAATAGTGACAAGAATGATATTGTAAGCCAGAAAACCGACGTGATATCTCATCAGTAATTGAATAAAAAAGAGGTTGGCCAGAATTTAAAGATAATTGATGTGGACAGTCTGTCCAATCTCCATGTCCATCTTACCCAACAATGCATGCTGGTTTTGAGGCAGTATTGTATTTAGAAGAACAGAGACATACCTCGAACACCCTCACCTTACTACTTAAGGTATACATCGGATCGTGATGTGTTCACGTTTTTACTACAGGCAGAGCTATGTCATTTGTATACAACAAGCAAAAATAAAGACTTTTCAATTAAAAAACAATCAGCAAAATATTAGATAAAGTTATATTTGTCTCTCCAGGTTTGTTTGTGACAATGTTTAGTCAAAGTGAGTAGTAGAGAGGCTTGATGAACAACAATTTACATAATGACTTTAGATGACAGTTCGCCATAAATCCTTGCTAGATCAATATTTGTCATCAGACAACCTTTATCAGGGTAATGTACTACTCCTTTGGTAAGCCTATATAATGTTTGCATAAAATAACAGTTGTTTTGTACATACTTAACAGAGTAATTCTAAGTTAAATACAATATAAACAAGCGTATGTACACTGTATCCTCTGTTTTCAGTTTTGACCCAGTCGTGACTATTAGAGTACATACTGGTTAGATATAGGAGTTGACTAGATAGCATATTACATTCAATACTACTACCGTTGATACTACCATTTCAAAAAATCTTGGTTGTTCTATAATATACAGTGTTATAAAACCTATTGATCAATGTAGTATGTACAACAAATAAAAATGATGGAGAAAAATACAATAAACTCTTTGTATTGAATAATAATAGCCCCCAAATGCCCTGGTACGGCTGAGAGTGGGGAGAATCAGCTCTCCCTCACGAAGTGATTTCATATGGCCACGCGTATATAGCCTCGCCCAATGAAGTCTTACTCACTGTGTTATCGCATCACGGGTGTTCTTCACGAAATTGAGAGGACAAAAAGCAAATGTAAACCGCTTTAACCAGGTTCGTGGACACGTGGAGTCCACCTAGGGGAGTTGAATAACCCTGACTCCAAACCAATGGTGTACATGGGCTGGTTCCAGGATCCTGAGGGAACAAATAGCGTATGAACTAATTGTTGGTCACCGGCTACCATGGGACTGTATCTCCTTACGTTGCTCCACCACCTTGAGGATCAGACCTTTAGGTCGAAGGCTCCGGGTGTGACCTCTTAAGAAAACCACCTTCTTTAGTTTGAGCACCCGAGTAGTATCACAGCCCTCACACGAATCTCATTGGATTTGTGTGGCGCATATGTGTCTGGTGCCCCTTGTACCAGTATTTATGTATTCAAATAAAATAATAAATAATAATATTCATGATAATTATTAATTTAAACAAAAAAAAAGCATAAACCTTACCAAGTTTTATTTTCTTAGTCATAGTATTTTTATTGTTTGGTAAAAGTTTGTGATTTTTAGATCCAGTACCTGGTTTTAATGCACCACTATGTACAAATGTAAGAGTAGCTGAAAAAATTAATGTTTGTCGTTGTACTTTCATCATATCCGTAGAATTATCTGACATTTCAACTGATTTATGCTTTCTTTTGAGATTTAATGTTTTCTTCAAATGGGTTTGATTATTTGTTGTAGTTTCTTGATCTTCTTCTTTTTCGCCTTCATTATTAAAATTTGATGATGAATGTAACCAATTGAAAATTGAACGTAAATCATCAAAATGATTCGCTTCAATCATTCGATCAGCTTCATCAACTACAACTACATTAACATTATGTAATGTCAGAACATGAGGATCACCCTTGACAAAAAAAAAGTATATGAACAAAACATTTCTTATAGATACTGAAGTTGAACTAGGGGTTTCGAAATATAAGAATTGAAAAACGATACAATTTATAGTCATTACATTAGAGTTTATGTCATTCAATGAAGAAACAATTGTAAAAGTATTTAAGAGGTGGTTTAACGGCCCCCAAATGCCCTGGTATGGCCGAGAGTGGGAAGAGTCCGCCTTCCCTCTCGAAATGCTCTCTCACACGGCCACGCGTATACAGCCTCTGCCAGGGAAGTCCTACTCACTGCCTTCTCGCACTACGGGTGTTCTTTACGAAATTGAGAGCACAACAAGCAAATGTCCTGCGCCTTAACCAGATCCCAAACTAATGGTGCACATGGGCTCCAGTATCCTGAGGGAACAAATGGCGTATGAACCTACTGTTAGTCACTGGCTACCACGGGACTGCATCTCCTCACGATGCTCCACTGCCTTGTGGGTTAGACATTTAGGTCAAAGGCTCGGGGTGCGGCCCCCTAGGAAAACCACCTGTTTCGGTCTGGGCACCCGGGCAGTATCACAGCCCTCACATAAAAGTGTGGCGCATACACATTTTGTGCCCTCCTGTACCAATATTTATGTGTTCAAATAAATAAATAAAGATGGTTTAACGAGCAGTAATCTTTTTATCTAAAGCAGTTTGGAAGACGATCTTATTAACAAGTGTAGGAAAATGCACATTATTTCAAGTGCTCTAAACAAATCAAACTGGTAATAAGTGGGAACCGAATTTGAAACAACTTAACAAGCTTACACACTCCGCTATGAGTTACATAATTTGTGTAAGGGCTAATGAGAGCCTCCCAAATAGATATAGAGTGGAGTTTGAGAATGTAACCTATTGATTGAAGTGTGAGTGACTTAAACAATAAACTATCGTAGAGCAATCTAAACTTCGCGAAAACAAAAGATCGGTTAGTTTTTGTGTTCACAACACTTGACTAGAATATGAAGTGAATATTTACAAGGGTTAGAAGCATTCTTATTTTACACATTCTATAAAACAGATGATAATTAGCTCCAAGTGTCGAAATCCATTAAACACGGTAAAAAAAACACTATTATAGAGGAAAGATACTGGCTAAAGCAAAAACAATGAACTCGTTTTTTGAACTAGCCTGAAACTCAATACTCAACGAAATGTCAAGTTTTCATTTAAGTCATAAGAAATATGTACTTGGAGGACTGAATGATATTAAACCCATATACTATTGTTACCAAACACCAGACACTGGTTTGGAATCAATGTCAGCAACTACATTCAACCAAATATTTATTTTTTATCATAAATCGAAGATGTTGATTACATATTTTTATTTGTACTTCATTTTGTCATAGGAAAGAATACATTCATTCGAAAACTAGGCAAAGATTTCTACAGTAGGTTGAAGGTATCATCAAAATGTCTAAACCGTGGTAATATGAAAAAGAGCTCGAAACCACAACCCAATGGTTATAAGTCGAGTATGTAAAACATTAAAATACAATTAAGTATTATAGTTGTAAATACTTGTTTCCCCTCTACCATTATTAACATTGTTAATTCATATACAATTACGTTTATTATGTTTTCCATCAAAATATTAATGATAAATGAAAACAGGAAAATCAGTGTATCGATAGGTTTCTATTGATGAAATCCTTTGCTTATAAGTGTACGTGTTGTCTTATTATTCATCACATATAGAAATACTTCCTCAAGTTGTACGAGTATAACGTTGGTAACAAAACTATTATGATTACAGTGAATGATTTCAATAAAGCTAGTCACTTGGAAGAAAACAAACCAACTAGCTGAAATAAATGAAGGGATAATCTATGAGGGTTTTTTTTAATAATTTGTAAATTATCCAATAATTCTTTTTTCTTATTCAATTCTGGTTTCTTGTGCTCATTACAAACCAAACTTCTACAGTCGGCTCAATTTTACTAATCAATCTCTATACAAGACACAAATAAATAAAAAGAACTAACTTGTTGGATAAAGTGCCATAGTCTTCCCGGAGTAGCAACAAGTATATCCGGACAACGTCGAAGAAGTCGAATCTGTTTATCAACCGATATTCCACCAACGATAGTTTCAATACGAATACAATCGACATATCGCATTAAAGCACGAATATGTTGTGTAACCTAGATTTACTCGAGGAAAAAAAGTGACCACTATTGAAAACATTGACTTAAACGTACTAGCAAAGTCTAAACATAAAGCAGGAATGGAAACAAGAGCTATGGGTAAGGTAGTGGCAAAGAACCAAAATAAACACGTTTAGACTTAATAGAGATTACAGATTGAAAAATCTGTTCTCAGTAGAACTATCGCGCATGAGGATAAAAGAGGTAATTGTGACGATACGAAGACGTTGAGGAATACTTCAACTGGTTTCCAACAATCCCACATTTGGGCAAGACTCATCAAGATTTTGTAGGAGATGAACAACGATTTTTAATGATGTTGGTTTAGGAGCGCCAGTTAGACTTTAATATTACCTATGGTTTGCACGTTAAGATAACTGTATTATGTGGGCTGTGATTACTAACTATTCCATTTTATAAGAACGAATAGGAAATTCATATGAATTTGGTTAATATAATGTGGGAAACTGGCTTCCATAATTATCTGACGTTCAAATGGAGCTCAAAAACCGTGACCCCAGAAATAGGCAGGTTCAAACCTAACTGTCGATACACAAACCACATATTTACCCTTCTACGAGTTTTAAAACACAAACATATCTCTCGCGGCCCGACAGTAGTATTTTCTAGCATAAAAATTAGAGGTGGATTCGACGATTGAGATTTTATGGGACTATATATCAGTGAAAAGCATGTCAAAGGTGCACGCTAACCTGTTAAACACTCGTTGATTGAAGAGTATTGGTCGAGTAAGAATTTGTAACGAGCCGTCGTCTGGGGTTATTACTTTTGTGACTTGATGATTATGATAAGAATCCGAAGGATCAACTCGAGTTCTGCTTATTTGCACGACTTTTATTACAGAAGAGATATAACATTGAGGAAGAGGGCGAGTTTACATCAGTATGATTTACAAAACATGGACTGTGAAGGTCAAGAACGTGTGCAAGTTGCCAGCAACTTATGGTAAATGTCTTCCAGACAGCGTTTTTGAGTATAGTCAAATTAATAAGTGACTAATGCTGGTTTTCGGTTTGTGCTGCTAGATAAGGATGGTTGATGCGCGTACTAGCCTTCATTAACTGGAGTAGTTAGGTGTCATACCTCTTCACCCATTGTTAATTCGTGCTATGCTGGTTACTATTGAATTGGCCAAGTAAAGACGCAGAACTAATTCATAGCTACATCTTCTGAACGTTTCGCTTTTTGTTTTGTTAGTTTCTTCTTGCTGTGTTGATGTGAAGGGTTACAACTAGGAGTGTTACATATTTGTACCAGATCATACGTTGTTCTATGACTGACCGAAAGATAACGGTTTATTAGTCTTGATTTAACACCTTATTTAACTGCAAGTGAAAGTGATTGGTGACTCTAGACATAAAAAGCAACTCTACATGAACATCTTAATACAAGATCCGGTTTAGATAAATAACCACCTTATGAGAATATTTTTTAGTGTGAAGTGCATTATTAGAATAGATATGTAGAAAAAATGAATAAAAATTGGAAACAAATAGTAAAATAATCGAGATATGAGTATAGGGGTATATTACATGTGAACAAAATCAAGTTTGCAAGGACTATGAAATGGTCAAAAATGACTAGAAAGGAAACTTTCTTCAGAATAAAACTCTTTCATACTTGAATAGCTAATTCCCTGGTGGGAACTAGAACAAGCCCATATACACGATTCCTTTTTGAATTCGGTTCAAAACAAACAGGAGATTTCGTAATTGGAAGTGGTTCAGGATCTGCTGTAACAGGATCTCCAAGGGAATGAACTGCGCGAATTTCTCCAGTATTTACATCTAACTCTTCTATGACATCTAAACCTGAATAAATGTCGGTTTCCTTCTTTTTTTTCTTCCTTTTCCCACGAGGTTTGACGCAAGATGCCACTTCGCATTTTTGTTGATCAATCAAGCTATTAGTTTTGGACTCTTCCTCACAAGTCTGGTTCTGGAAAACAAATTTACAATGAAGTACACGATGAAAATCGCAACGAAGATTTTGGCTAGATATCATTTATGAACGTTTGCATCATAGCTTAAATAGATTTAGTCACTGATGATTTCGGTACAACATACCAGGAATATCAGAACTTGAATTAACTACGACGTCCTCTTATCGGGATATGATTCATTTTACAATTTTGTACGGTAGACACCACCTATCGCGACTTTTCCACAGCCTTTGAAAGTTCCTATTATTCCTTTTATTATTAGAAACATAAACCAAATAAAGTACCTTTACACGATGTAAATGTAAGTAAACTATATAGATGATACTAAGTCGACTAATCAGATTAAGGATTGGTTTCTATGGAGAATTCTGGATAGCTGGAGATATCTGGCATCCTGTGTGAAGAGCTTTGTAAAAACTTGGCAGAACTTACAGATATTTTGCTACCTAGACGCTGAAAATCGGCAGATATGAAGAGCCAAAAGACTCGAGACAAATGTAAGCAACTCTTAGAATGACCAGAGGTCAGTCAGTCAGTCAGTAACAACGTAGAACTTAGTACGTACGTACATCAGTTCGAGTTGCCATACCAGCTTAACACAGAGATGCAGTGGTCGATTCAAATCCCGTAGTGGTAGAGGTAGCAAGAGTATAAACAGTAATCGGGAAGATTAGGGTTTGGAGATGTTATTTAACGAGTATAATCCAGTGAAATAAATTTGGAAAGAGGAAAAAAGCGACATGAAGAATTCAGATTAGAATTTGGGAGAACACAAAGAGTGGATGCACCTGCGCCATTGCAAACGATTTTGAGCCATGTCATTCAGGGTCTCTAACCATCGGTTGCTATCATCTCGCGGTCCCCAACCAGGTAGTTTACACCTACCAACATGACTCAGTCCACTTGTCAGTGACTTCATGGATTTGTGCCATGTTTTGGTCTGGCCGCCCCTAGCTTTCTTCCAATCTACTCCTATACCACTGAACATCGCACGTCGGGGCAGTCGGTCGTTGGGCATACGTAACACGTGTCCCAGCCATCTCAACTGATAAAGTTTCACTACTTCATCAATTGATTTGCCATCCTTACCTAGTACCCGTTTCCTAACAGCTGCGTTACTTACTCGGTGGTCCCAGGATATACGAGCAATACTTCGAAGACACCTATGATCAAATACTAGTAACCTACGAATATCCTCTACTCTTACCGGCCATGTTTCACTGCCATAAAGTAGGACGGAACGAACTGCTGCGCAGTAAACACGTCCGTTGGTTGGTAGACGGATATCTCGCCTACGCCATAAATGACGCAAGTTGGCAAAAGCTAGTCGAGCCTTCTGTATCCGTGCTGAGATTTCGTCACACACCAAACCACAAGGGCTGATGAGACTTCCGAGATAAGTGAAGCGGTCGACACACTCAACTACTTCACTCCCTATCACTAGTTCGGGTGTCGATGTAACCCAATCCTGAAGCAACATTTTGCATTTCGAGGGAGAGAATCGCATCCCGAACATGCTTGCATTGTTGCTTAGAGTGGTCAGAAGACTCTGCATTTTGTCAGCGTCTTCACCAAATAAAACTATGTCATCAGCATATTCTAAGTCAACAAGTGAACCTCCCGATAGAAGTTCAACCCCCGGAAATTTAGATGAGGAGAGTGTTATCTCTAAAAGTACGTCGACCACAAAGTTGAACAAGAATGGGGAGAGTGGACAGCCCTGACGAACACCACTTGAGGTAATCAATTCTGATGACAGTTCGCCATAAGCTCTCACTCGACCAGAGGAAAATTATTATATTTTCGAAAAATTGATAAAAAAGCTGGAATTTTCCAAAGTAGCCTGAGAATCCTTGGAGCGGTATTCTACTTCATAGGAGAACCAAACAGATTTGACACAGTCTCGTATATATGCGCGAAATTAACTTAGTCATATGACTAAACAGCGAGAATGTTTAATGACATTAACCTGATCCGGTTTGGACACCCAGACAGAATCACAGCCTTCGTACAAACCAATGATAACTACTACCGTAAAAATTTCTCTTGCTTCAACGCTCGCTCAGACAAATATTATTCACAATCACATGATAACATTCGTTTTTATTTCTTTTATACTACGTCACTTATGTATTCCCCTTTATCCTCATTTTACGCATTTCATTTTTCTACTTATACAGCAACTCACCTATGGTGGAAACTCTGTCCTATCCAAACGATCTCAAGTCATTAACTGGTCGAGAGTTGGATACTACCACCGAATACGAATACTGAACTAGTCTTTCTAAAATCACATACACCATTCAAACTGATTACTTTGAACGTTCGCTTACTAATGCAGATCGGACAACAGATAGGGTTGTCTGTGTCTTTAGAAAGTCTCAATATCGATATATGTTGTTGATCCGAGACCTGTATTCAAGCCTCTAGTGAAGCACCACAAACTCTTTCTCCATCTGTCGCTTCGAAAAGCTTGTTTCACATGCGTTTATTCGAGGGCCCTGTGGTATATTTATCTGGTTTCGCTGGCGTTCGTGTCGCACTAAGCGTTAGAGCTGAGGCAGTACTGACCTATTGGATCCCAATTAACAGTCGGTTATATGCTGTTAGATTAGAAAGTTCCATCAAAGTGAGAAGAAATCGGTGTGAGAAACTATGTCTTTTTGTCAACGCCAATGCTCTGACAGATTGCAGCCCGAATGCGACCAAGGATGTTTTACCACCAGTTGACTGTTCTTCCTCAGAAAGTACGTTCAACAGATATTGTAGTACTGGCCGGATACTTGAATGCTCATGTGGGGCGTCTAGGCACAGGAGAGTCGTATTGGTTGCGATTGCATGACACCACGAAAATGGGGAGAAAAGTCGCTTTCGGCTCTGCGAGATGTATCACTTATAAGCACTGGTTTTCTTCAGACCCTTTACAACTTATTGAAGCCCGTCAGTCTACTTTGGATGACCGTGAGTTTGACCACAAACGACGACTGTTAAGTAATGAAATTAGGCAAAGCTTGCGCAAGGACCGAGAAGCCTGGTGGTCAGAGAGCGCCAACATGTTGGAAGCAGAAACTGCATCTGGTAAATGCCGGAACCTATTTCAGCCTATCTGAATCAGTGACGGTGAGAAGTTTGGTGTGAGCAAAACAATCTGTGATGATGGGATGCCAATCACTAACATCTATCGGCGTCTTGGACGATGAGCGGTTTTTCGAGGAATAGTTCAACTAGTCTGCTGCCCTGGAGGAATCGATCAGACTGTCTTGACTTCCATGACCTGTAATGATTAGTCCACCTAATAAGGCAGAAGTCCGCAAAGGACTCCAACTCTTGAAGCGCCACAAATCACCAGAACCATACGACCTACCTCCGGCCTTTTTTAATGAAGGTTGCGACTTTCTGGTTATAGAATTGACAAAGTTATTCACAAAAGTTAGGCAATTACAGTATTCCAACATCGTGGGATGAATTGGTAGTTGTTCCTATCTTTAAAAAGGGTTCACATCGTTTCTTCAACAACTATCGAGGGATAAGTCTACTTCTGATTGTATCCAAACTATTGGCTTCCGTAATGCTTCGTAGGTTGTTCAAAACTCGGGAAAGATTGACTTGAGAGGAGCAAGCTGGCTTTCTTTCTGACAGAAGATTTACAGATACCTTCACTCTCCGCCAAATGTGAGAACACCGTCATACTTATCACAGGTTAACATTCTTAGTGTTTCTTGACATTAGAGCCGCCTTTAATCCACTGGACAGGATTGTTCTCTGGGACTATGTGTTGCAGAAGGGTGTGCCTGAGAAAATTATTCACACCATGGAAACTTTTATATCAAAACGCCTCAGAAGGAGTGAGAGCATACAACCACCTCTCACCATTGTTTCATTCAAGTAATGGTTAGGCAATGTTGCCCACCGTTCCTCAACTTTACTATCGACGACGTTCTGGAAACACCTTTGGTGGATACAGGTAACGGTGGTGTGGATCTGTTTTCTGTAGAGGCTTCTCGACTTAGAGTATGCAAGTGATATTGTCTTACTGGGCGATGATATCCTAGCCATGAAATCCGCACTTAATCAGTTGTCAATCAGTGTCCTTAGGTATGGTAGGTGCTTTGAACCTTATAAGTGCAAAGTACATTTACAAGACTGGCAGGACCGTGATCCTGCACTCACTCAAGGTAGTGAGCAGATAGAAGTAGTCGAGAAATTTTTGTATCTGAGTAGCTACGTAAGTGCTGGTGGTGGCGTGAGCGATGAGATCAATTCACGTATAGTGAAAGTCAGAGAGGCTTATGCCAATCTGGGCCATTTTCGGAGCCTTCATGACAGTAGTCTGGTTGCAAAAGGTCGGATCTACAACGCGTTAGTGAAAGCAGTTTCGCTCTGTGTTTCTGAAGCCTAGCCTCTACGAGTTGAGAATGTTGAACCACTCTCAGTATTTGGCCATAATTGCCTCCGAAGGATTGCTGACATCCAATGGTAGTACCATGTTGGTAATGCAGAGGTTCGGCACCTTGTGTTCAGGCACAGCGACGATTATTCAATCGGTGTCACTTTCATGAAACATCGACTTCGGTGACTTGGACATGTTCTACGAATGTCGTCCCAGAGAATCCCACATCGTGCATTATTTACCGACGCTGGGAATGGTTGGAGAAGGCGTTCAGTGTATGGCACGATGTTGTGGTATTAAATTAAGCTGTACATAACTTGCTTTCGTTAGTCCTTCACAACTCTCTGGTTGGGGTCCAAGAGATGGTGCAACACAGAGGCTAAAGACGTTATTAGAAACGGCTCAGAATAAAGGCCAGTGGCGATCCTGTTGTGGCTTTCTTCTACTTTTTTCATAGTACAAGGAGGCACCAAATACATATGTGCCACATAAGTCATTCGATTTGTGTGAGGGCTGGGATACTGCCCGGGTGCTCAGACCGAAGCAGGTGGTTTACTTAGGGGGCCACATCCCGAAAATGAACTGAGAGAATTATTCGGTTGTATTTTTGCTAAGAGAACTGTTTCTTCCATTATCATCACTATTAATATTATTATCATTATTTCACCAATATACACTGATTGTTGCTCATTGTTATTCTTTTAATATACGCACTTTCCATTCTCTATCTCTTCACAACCTCATTGTTATTGTGTAGTGCATATGTATTTGGTGCCCCCATGTGCCAATGTTTGTGTTCAAATAAACAAATATATACTAGAACTATGGCTGATATCAGTTTGTAATGAAAGCCTTATCCTTGATTCCTAACCCAGAAACCTAGTCTAAACCCCCTACCCAGACGTATAACCTGAACTCTTAGTCCTAAATCTTTCCCCTTTACTGTTGAAAATCGGGTATGGAAAGGTTCAGTATTTGTCCCAAAATTCCTGATCCTATGTAGTTTTGCTACCTTTTTTTTATATCATAAGTCGCCTCATGACAGTAAAACGATTTCTGACTGATTAATGTAACAATCGAAGTTATTTGGGATCTCCAAAGCCGTTCATACATTTTACTTCTGCCATGTACATCAACTTCAAATTTGAGTAGATAAATCAATTGCCACTCAACTCTGGAAAATACCGACGCAGTTTATCTGCGACATACTGCCAGAAACGTATGTACATCGCAGAACTAGTTCTAAGCACTATTTAAAAGGAAGGATTATTCCCATGACCTGAATTTTTAAGGTTATAATACTTCTCAAGCTCAACTCACACATGTGACTCTGAAACACGTTTTGACTAGTTTGACTACAAGTAATTTTATCCAGCTTTCGAAAATGGGAATCATTTATAAGGGGTAACACTTTAAGGTGCATCCACAGACGACGTCATTAAAGCAACAAGTAGTATTTAGTTTGAAACCGACGAATAAATCATGACTAAAATTGACTTTTATTCTTCGCAATACAAACTTAAGAAGCGGATTCATGATGAATTACACCAAGAACAAGCCTGATTATCCCTTGAAAAACCCTGAAACCGAATTTTTTGAATCTATCCAAACCATGATAGGGACTGAAGGTAAAGTGGAAAAGCTACCAAGGAGTTTAGATATTGTATAATAGACTTGAAGAAAGTACGGAGACACCATAATCTATGTTCGAGTCAATAAAATTAAAGGCTGCAAATCTTCGAATGTGGTGCAAATTTATTCATCCATATAGATAAATAGCATTTCAGTATGATGCCTGGTATCGGTTTATGATGAAAAGCCTTATATGATATACTAAATTTAAATTCGAGATCTGAATTTTAGTTCTATTTTCCTCATACTAATTAAAAATCTATTTTAACTTTTTTAGACACACGGGTTGTCTCGAGGTCACTTCGACGTCGCTCAAAGATCGTTTATAATGCATGGTCTCAACGAGAAATATTGTTATACACAACATGACAAAACAGCTACTTACCTCAAGAGTCTTGAGGGAGAATACTCTTGATACTAGAGGAATTCCGAACGCCAAAGTCTTCCCACTTCCCTAAAAGAGGAAGTTAAGAAAAAGTGTATAAACATTGTATACTGTTGGTGCTGATCCAAGAACATCGGAAAAACTGTGGAGTGCAGGTGGTATAGCCGCAGTTTGTATAGGTGTAGGATGTTCTAAGCCACAATCACTGACTGCCTTCACAATATAATCTGGGAGATTAAGAGAATCCCAACCCATCACTTTAACACGACAACCTTGGGAATTCGAAAATTTGCGGTTATACTATTTGGTTCAAATAATTCAAGTGTTTTTAGACGAATAGAAGAGACTTTTGCTTAATGGGCCTCCATATATATTACCAGGTAGTCAGAGATACCTCTATGTAGGAATCTAGGTATATAATCGATGAAAGAGAAAAAGAAAAAACGTTAGTAAATCATAGTAAGATACTGTCCTTAGTCCTTAAGAATATGTCGTTTTCTCTCGGTATACTACTGAAAAGTAGCTTGCACTAGCTCACCAGGTAGAGTATTCCTGAATTTGATCAATCTTGAGGAGTAAAAGGTGTGTATACACTCCGTTCTGTTGTGTTGTGTCTCCAGTTTCTGGGTGTAACCCTTAAAATTTGTATTGGGGCTAAACTTAAGTAGGTGTTTAAATGGGTGGCCAGAAGTGTTAAGGATGCCATGAGTCACTGCAAGTTCAACACAGACGCCTTTTCTCAGTGATTGAACGTGCCCTTCATAACACTTGAATTTGAGTCCTCGAGCCGATTTCGTGACTCATAATTAGATACGTTCCACAGTGTCCTTATTCTTATGAAGTAAAAATGAGTAGCAGATGGCTGCGAAAGACGAAGAGTGTGAAGAAATTAGGACAGAAAGAAGAGGAAAGGAACTTAACAATGACACTCTCTACAAGAATACAAATAATCTGTAGTCCTGAAGTCATAGATGAAGAATCGATCCTTTTGAAGAAGATACTTATCAAAAACGGATATCCTTCGATATTCATTGACAAGAACATGGAACCAGAAACGCCGAAAACACGAAAAATTGCAGTAAAGAAAGAACATTATACGTGAAAATCGACTTTAATGGTGACAGAGCTGCATACATCCTAAAGAGGAGAATTTCTGATTCTTTAAAAAGAACATTCTTCTCATCAACATTTCGAATAGTATTCTCCACCCAATCATCGTTCGCTAATAATCCTAAAAATAAATTATCGCATCTGACCAACTCAATGTGCATTTACCAATTAACCTGCTCATGTGGAGCTAGGGTAGAGAGATCATTCGACGCGTACTTTATCCAAAAGAAATATCTGGCTCCGCTGAAAAGAAGAGGAAATGGCTCAATAGAAGCTTAATAAACGAACACCTTGTGAATACATGTCATTCAATCAAGACAGACTCTGCCTTCAAAATCGTCTACAAAGTAAGTGTAAGTCTTCCAAAGACAATTAGATTGCATCTTCTTTGTATTGCAGAAACAATAGTCATACATACGGAAGAACCAGAATTGTGTGTGCAAAAGACATTGTTGCAGCCTATTCTTCTAGCATTAAATTGATGTCTTTTTTTCTGTTTTCTAAGTTCGTTCATTCTTCCTTCCTTCATACTCTTCCTTCTTCGCAGCCATCTGCTTCACCACCCATCTTCCCCTAAATCTTATACCCTAACTGGTATATTTCTGTTTCTAGGATCATCCTGATTACATTTAATCTGAATTTCAACGTTTTATCTTATCATGCTGAACCATCCTTTATCAAGGATAATTTCCTTGCCTAACTTTTGATGAATACTTAGGCCATTAACAATCAAACGGTTCTAAAACTTTCCTTCTTTAAACATTTTTCAATACCTTTGTTTATTTTGCATCACTGTCACCATGTCTAACAGAACTTTATTATCAGTATTATAATTATTACCATCCTGTAAAATAAGCATATATATTTGCGACTGTACAGCTTTAAAAATGAATTCACCGAAAAGAAAACTCTTCGCTGAACTAATCTTTCTTAATAACGAAATTGTAGTAATATCTAATGCGTTTATGAAGATCTAGTACAAATCAAATTATTTGTTTTAGCTTGATTCTTAGTGTTTCAGTCTGGTGTTGAGTCTCTAGTATCGTCGAAGGAAGGTGATTTAGCCATTCCATTAATCACACACAAAACAACATGAGAAGTTAGACTTCTTCACGCTGACTTGCCATAGATTGGGAAGTAATTTGATCTTGATGCACAGAATAATAAGAATTGATTATGAACATATTATATCTTCACTGTTTGTAATGGAAAGAAAACGATGAAAATCCCTCTGCAGCTTCTTTGTTGAACAGTATTTTCATTTATTTGTTCTTTCTCCCTTTTGTGTATTTTAACCTTTGTTCCATATCTTTTGTTCTTCATTCTTCCTCGTTTGAGCCTTTAGCATGTGATTTTGATTAAAGACTTATCTTCTGTTACCTAATTTTCTATTGCATGCTCCCGGGCCATTGACAGTAAGGTCGTGTTTGAATAAGCTCAAGGTCACGGCGTGGTTCAGTTTGTAACTGTTAACCTTCTGACTGTCTGCTTGGGAGAATTGCTGCAATCCCTGCAGATAGATATTTGATCCCATCTTGTCGGGAATATTTGTATTGATTTTCAGGTATCAAACCCTTTAGTATTAACTGTCTCTTTCATTGTTTAGCGCGCTACTTTGCGTTAGAGGAAGTTCTGACTGTATAGCACAGGCTGTACCGTTTGAGGTATTTTGTATTTTTGATGTAATTTGTTCTGTTTTCTTAATTAGAACCGTTTATGTTAAGCAAAGAGTTCGTGTTTTGATATAATATAATACGAGTATCTCAAAAACGCGTTGTCAGCTATACAGAGGAACGTGGTCTGGTCTAATCAAATAAATTTTGGGTTCGTCAGTCCGTTGTTCCAACCAAATATTGGCTGTTCGGTCGCTACACTGTTCGTTCAATTTAGATCAGAACAACTCAGTGGACATAACAGGCATGCACGAAAGCCAATAACGAATAAAATATTCTTGATATTCTGGTTTTCACAGCGAGTCATCAACCATTGGAAACTGATACTCGAAGCAATGGTGTCCGGATCATCAACTGACTCATTCAGGAGAACACTTGACACTCAAAAACCTGCAAGAGAAGGACTAATACAGAACGTAGGTCTTCTGACTTTAAAGCACTGGTCTGGAACTGAACCTGAATTTTAGATTATTTTCTCATATGAATTTTCCTTAAGTTGAATGAGTCATCAAAATAAATAATTTTGTATGCCGTCGACAACGATGCAAAGTTTATTAGTTTTACCGGACATACCGTAGCTGATGGCCTTTGACCAGGCATCCTCAACAGATCATCGTTTGAAAGGACATGCCATACATCCCTCACAACAGCCAGTCATCTCAGCCTAATTACTCCTCAACGCATTGATAATTTTCCAAACATATATTCGACGCCATCCTTCCTGACTTTTGTTTTAAATGGGTCAAGGATTTCTGATTAAGAGTGCGTAAATGACAACGGCCGAGTCAATCACGGAATATAAGTGGTATTTTCAGTCACATCTGATATGAGAACCGACCTAGATTGGTAGGACAACTGTAGAATAGCCCAAACACACACCTCAATGTCAGCTAACCTCAATCAACAATCTATTATGAAGGACGTAGTTACGGTGACCCTGTCAGAGGACACTCCATAAAGGCGAATCGTTCGGAAACAAGAACCAAATCGTGGACTAATATCTGCCTAAAATGTTGAAGACAGGTGACTCCGTTGATGAAAAAAGAATGATCAAACTTACTAACAAATGTCTCTATAGCAGTGCATTAATAATAAGGCGTAATCTAGAAGTCAGTAACATGTGCTATCCACCGAAATCACGGATGACGAATTACAAAGGTGACAGAATGATTCTGAGGGGCTTCAATGATCATGCCACAATGTACGTGATAGGAGTGTGCGGTAACTTCTCTGTTACTAGCACAACATGTGTTTTCTTAGAATTCTAAGTTTTCTTGTTCACATTGCAATCAATCAACCTCATGATTGGAAATTTGATGGCTTCTAGTATCCAGAAACCCTACTTTTCTGAAGCAAACACACTCACTCAACTGCAAGATATATAAATCCATAAACAATTTCCAAAATAACTAGGATTAGTGCATTAAAGTGGATAGACTACCACTCATTGGACACAACAAAATACCCGAGACTGTACCTTCATAATGAGAAGCGAGCATGAAAAAGTAATCCGTTTATACTAGTTTGTGACAAAGACACTGAATGATGGATTTTCAGGGGTGAGTCTGAAGTGACCTGACACACCAAACGGTAAACTATGAGCCTGTACCTTTCTATAACACCATACATATATCGTTTATACATTACTATATCACTTTCAAGTCCTCAGATTTTCCCGCATATTTACACATCTTATTCTTATTTTTCTGGGATACTCAACCAAACTGTTACAATTCAATACTCACATTCTCCTAACCATGCCATTCTGACCTGATAATATTGAAGTCTGATTTTGTTGTGAAGAAGTTAGGGCATAACAGCACGAGTTCAACAGTTCCTTTATGCCTAGTATGTATGTATTTATGTATATATGTATGTATATATGAATGTATGTATGTAGGCGACAGCAAATCTACCGATAAACCTCATCGAATTCCGTTGTGGCAGACGTTTCTATACCAATCATTAGTGTAGACCTGCTGCAACTCCACGAACTGCTCATCAAATCAAAGAAACAGAGGTGAGTAGACTCAAATTCTAAATTGTCTGTTTGAGAAAATTAATTTTCTTGTCGCATGTTATGTCAACAGACGTTTTCCCGGTATAGATCGAGTACATGATTGATACATTGAGTTGAACATTCAGCGTACACGACTGTATTTAAAGATCTGGGTTGTAGTTGTGTTTATAGTCTCGACCAATTAAGTAGCTACTGGTAGTAGCTACTGAAGTAGATAACTGTCTCTACCCGACAAGGATTAGCTCCACTGGTCACGACTTCTCACTAGAACTCCGAGAATTCCCTCACGAAGCTAGTCACTAGTGAGCACATGTTGATTACTAGTATAGGGGTTGTGGAGATTATTAAGTTTTTGATTGAGATGTCGAATCAATTGATGTTAGACCATCACAACTATAAACCTGGAAGCACTGGACGGCCGTTTCGTCCTATTGTGGGACTCCTCAGCAGTGCTTCCAGGTTTTCAATTGTGATGGTCTAACATCAGTTGGTTCAAGATCTCAATCAAAAACTTAATTCATATTTGTTGTGTTGTTGCACTGGTAGGAGCGAAGAGAACTGAATTGTTTGAGATATGAAACACTGTGAGAAAATTCAGCTACATTCAACTGAGTGCTTGAAATAGTGCATGCTCAGATTTGTTAACATCTGTAGAAGGACTAGTGCGTGAAAAGTATAAATGAATTCAAATTGGAGAGAAAATGCACACAACAGATACCGATACTGCTTAAGCAACTTATCTAGATAGTGTTTACTTTACTCGTCCACTGAACTCGCTCTCTGTTTTTCATATATGTTGTTAATGGGGTACTGAAAGTTGTAAATATAGTGAGTTTTTGTAACAAACCACTATTAACTCTATCTGAACATAACGACGCCACTCAAATCTTACCATAGAGAAAATACAGTACAGGTACAGTTAAACAATCACTGGTACAATTGGTTATAATAATAATTGTTTCCATTATACCAATCTCGTCACTACAGTTGTATCGATGAATATGATAACTGACTTTAAAATATGAAGTTCTTTAGACAACAATTACCATGGATTTGTCAAAGACGTTTCCTTCCGTCTCATATATATATATATATATATATATATATATATATATATATATATATATATATATATATATATATATATATATATAAAGTTTACAAGTTCTTTTATTTCGAATCAGCTTTCGGTTGTCTACTATTATTACACAATTCATTTTCGGCTTTCATGTGAAATGTTAATTGCCGTCTCATATACGGTCTTTTTGAGGGTCTATGACATGTTTAGCCGTCCATAAATTATGTGTTAATCAACTGCTCTACGAGATTGGAACTTCTGACTTGGATCGTAGATGCTCATTGCTAAGGAGTCCTATTACTAGAACAAAACGGTCGTCCAGTGTTTCCAAGTTTTTCATGGTGGTCTTACATCAACTGACTCATGAGTTTTTAGCGGTCCGTGGATCTGACTCCATTCAGATCGTATGAATGCTTGTTATCGCCTATTCTCGTATATAATCATCGACTTTAATTGCGTTAGTCAATAACGGATCTAGATAAGTCAAATAACGAGAATGGACTTTCGAATACATATATTTTGTATATGAAGCGAATGGAATAGAGAGAAGAGAAACGACGCACAGGGGAGATAGCTGGTAAGTCAACTCCTTTTTTTAGCCTAGCGTTACTCAATATTTATAGGCAGACAAAATAAACTACAGACATGTGATGAAACATGGGATATGAAGTGTATACACATATATGCTCATATAAAAACAGTCAAGATTGATAAGCGAATAATTAACAAGATCAAAATATTACTCAAGTAGAATGAATAGATTGAGCTGTCTGAAAGTTAAAATAAAGTATATGAGCTTAACATAATAACTAACACTACAAGTTCAACCATAAAATTACTAAAATCTTCACAGAAACCCCTTCTGATAATGAGTATAATATACTTTATTCATATTCTATCTTTGTTAACATCTAATTGTAAATTACCTGCTTCTTTACTCATTGTTTCTACTTAGTAACTAATTTGTTTTGTTTTTTTTTCTTGTAATCAATAATGTTTACTATTAAACGAATAAATATTCGATTTTCTCAGTGAAAAAACAAACAAGAGTTTGATGTTGTTAGTAATAGAAATCATTTCAAACTATGAAAGGTAACACCTAAATTGTTTGTATATAAATACACAAATATTCTCATTATTGTCATTGAAATTTAATTCAAAACTCATTTTATTATTATGAAGTTGAATGTATTTCATTATTTTATATTCATTATGTTGGAGTATTATGAATTATGTAAATGTCAAATGACAAAGGAACAATTCAATCTCAATGGAAGAAATCATGAACTTAATGATGATAATCATGATTTTAGAATTTTTGAACAACCTCCGTTGGAACATGTAAGTTTAATAAGAGAATTACTCACTTATGAATGAATGAAGATCATTTGTATAACCATTATTTGAGTGATATATTTGTAGGGTGGCGTCGAGTCGCGGTTGACTATGATTACTACGACAAGAAGACTACGTGACAGTTAACCGATAAGATCTCCCGTAAGCCAAATATCAGAAGGCAGTTGATGACTGTAGTTGAGATGTATTTGATGGCGATCTCGTGGTATCGAAGGAATAATGAGATTGTGCAAGGTTACAAGTGTGGTTACTGAGTGTAACTGAATTCGTGTAAGGTCACAAGCAATGGAAGAATGTATGTGTTTTGGTACAGTTAAACGAACAAGTACGGTAAAACAATACCTGGAACAATTGGTTATAATAATAATTGTTTCCATTACACTAATCGTGTTCTTTTGATAAAAGTAGGTCAATACATATTAAATAGGACTCGGGTATCATTTGTCTTCATTAATGCTAATACCTATTTTTGTAATAGGGTTTCAGTGATATGATTGTCGAATATTTACTCTCCTATATGAACCGTTATAAATGTTCATATTATAACTTCAATTGATATTTAATGTCTGAATAAGTGGAGATCATTAGATTCGATCAATATATCGGCCATCATACTGTGGTATGTTCTACTTATATCGATATAAGTAGTTTATAACACTGGTCAGGAATAGAATGTCTGGTAGGAGAAGGTCAAATACATAGAAAAGGAAATAATAAGAACAGAAAACAATTGGTATGTAAATGTAGAAACAATGAAGTCTGAGACGACTGACTGATATTTTCAAAAGGAACAGTCAAGTTCGAGACAATTGAATAATATTTTGCAAATTAAGTATTTACTGTATGTAATCTAATAAGTGAATTCAAGAGTCAATTGAAGCTAAACCACCATGGAAAATCTGGAAGCACTGGACGACCGTTTCATCCTAATATAAGACTCCTGATCATTGCGCATCCACGATCCCGATCTCGATGGTTCTCAGATTTTACTAAGATGTTCTGCAATTTCGTGTGTTCAAATATATTCCGTTGTCGTCCACTTGAGCTCTCATTTACTACAAAATACGTTCCATTATGATTCATGAAAGACATTTTAGAATAGCTATTTTTGGAAAATCAGTATATCTATTCTTTCCTCCAGTTTCATAATCAACAGTAGTGACTATTCAAATTGATTATGAACTGCATCATTGAAAGCATTCTAATTACCAGATAATTTTAATGTTTTCGTTAATCTGGTTTATAAAAGAATAATTCCTCATTGTGAAATATATGATGAACCGGAAAGTATTTTTTCTTCAATGACAGTATATCATGAACATCAATTGTCTTTCAATCGAATGTAAAGGTTCTGCCGCAGTTTGGATGACTTTCCGGTCTCTTACATTGTACGAGCATTCCATGTACCTAAATTACTCGTTGCTCTAGTTGTCAGAGGTGGGCATCAGCCTCGTGACTTCCGAAGGAACTCGGCTTTCACCATGAGGTGTCATAGGTCTTCTAAATAAAGACCTTCTAACTCTTAGGACAGAGTTTAAATGGTTTGAATCATTTTTTATTCACAAGTTAGTTTTCTACGAGATGAGGTCGTTGTCCTCATGCCCAACCCTCCTCCTTTATCCGGGCTTAAGACTAGCAGAAGCCCAAGAGGATCTCCAGAGCTCCAGTTTTGTAAAGATTCACTTATATAAATATTGATGTAGTTGACACTTCAGGAAAGTAATCGATTCAACTAATGATATACATTCTGAATAAGTTAATGCAAAACCAACATAAGTTTATGATTGTACATATCATCTGTATATTTTGAATAATTTAAATACTAAATGCTTTTTACTATACTCAAACGTACATCTCATGTTTATATAAATCGACATGTTATCAGTCTGAGTGAATGTCATATAATTATGTTAGTCGTATTGAATGGGAACAGATTGTGAAATCATTGCATTAGGATTTTTCTTACATACTTTTATATTTCTTACACACCCGATGAGTTATAGATTATTTTATCTATATGACTGCTATGAAAACAATTGATTTTAAGACGGTTGGGCAATATTATGGACTGATCGAAGTTAGGCTTGTACATCATTTGGTTTCGACTCGGTTATTGATTACGTTATATGTTAAAGCGCGTGACCGGAATTCATGGGTTCGATTCTCGGTTGTGGGTGAGCAGCAGTGATGAATCTTACACTAGAACAAATGGGCTATTCAGTATTTTTAGGCTTTGAAAGGCTTTTTTAACTACGATCGATCTATGATTGTTAATGAAAGATCGTGACTAGTTGAGTTGGAATAACTAAATTTTAGATTATTGATCCAGTTTTCCATCAGTAAGCCTACTAAACGTGACAGGTTTTTTTCAGATTTTGATCATACTATTAGATACTGTATTCTATATTTCTATAAACCTCAAAGAACTCAATTTAAGCGTTTATAATACTAATTTCTCAGCTAAATAGTTTGCTACATTTGCATATCGATTCAATCTCGAGACAGTGTGGTCAGTATTTCGACTAAACAGCCTACATTCATCCGATGGACACAAGATTTAATTGGAGAAGATGGTTGAGAAAGATTGACAAAGCTTGTCAATAGCTTTGTTTTATTGTGTCAATTAATTTATATATCAGTAATTCACTAGTTCTGATATTGTCAGTTATGTTGATGTTTATGTTATATCCCGATAAGCATAATGAATTATAACTATTGGGATCTATTTCTGGACTATTACTATACGTATATTTTTATTGTATAATTGTTAATTAACTAAACTATTTATATTCGTATCCCTCTTATCATAAGCTTTATTTTGATCTATGAACAACTATTATACGATTTACCATTGTTGAGTTATTCCCTGTCTATCAATTACTACCTCCCACATTCACAGACACTTTTGGTCAGATCTTGTACAAATGATGCATCCTATTTTATGGTACGATGTAGTCTATTTGGTTTGTATATCAACCCAGTATATTTGAAATACATGATTCATATCGCGGAGATTGAGATTGGTGTTTTGGACTCATCAAGAAGGGCTAGACAGGAAGAAATACCGACAAGGACTTTAGACTGTTCTTACGGGTTTCGCGCGTCATTGGTCCGGTCGGTAATTCCCTATTCTCTAATTGGCGGTATCATTACGTTATACATTGATAGGGGGAATAGGGCACAAGTTATAACAGTTTACTTACATCTAAACTTAACCAAGGATACTCAATAAGTGCATATTCTTATAAGTTAATAAACTTATACTTTGATTCTATTTTGTAGAAACGTGATAATACATTACAACAATATGTGGAACGTTATGTGAAACAGTGCAATCCAAGTATTACTTTAACAAAACAATATTTCAATAATACACTCAGTGTAAATATTTCTGACAATAAAGATATTGAAAGGTATGATCATTGAGGACGTTGTATCATCACTGTCACATTGTTTTTCATTTCAGTATATTCAAAGTATGGTCAACCAAACATTATCCTTATAATTGCATTGTTTATGATTGTTCATCCTATAAACAGGTAAATGGTATGTAATTCTTACTCATAAATATTTAACAATTTAAACAGGGTAATGAATTTATCGGTTTGATTTTGAGATGATGGAGAAGATTTGTAGCTCAGGTGGATGATTTTGATGGAGTTTTGTTCTCTGAGCTGGATGGTTTTAGTCGTGGAGATTTCATCGTTCTTTTGAACGACATCATCAGCACAAACTGCAGATAGAAGTGAAGTGTTCGAATTTCTCCATATGCGTTTCAAAGCTTGTTCTGTATACCTCGACGGTGATTGGTTCTTATTGACCTTAAATTTGTCACTGTTTACTTCTCTGTTTGGGTTGTGTCTCCCATTGGTTTTATTGTGCATAATTTTCCTGATTGGTTGATAAATTGGATCGACATCAATGTGCTTGCCTGGCACTGAGGTCAATCAGCAATCAACAAGGTCAATAAGAACCAATCAACACCGATGTATACAGAACAAGCTGTGAAACGTATATGGACAAATTCGAACACTTCACTTCTATCTGAAGTTTGTGCTGATAATGTCGTTCAGAAGAACGATGTAAGCTCCACGACCGAACCATCCAGCTCAGAGAACTAAACTCCATCAAAATCGGTTTGATTTGCTTGCCTCTCAGAGTTAATACTCACTACGGAACTTATAATAAAATGGAATAGACATTGCATCATCAACAAGTTAGTTAGTCACATAAATCGTGCTCTTTTAAAATCGATCTCCGAGTATTACCGTAAATACCTATCGAATGATCAATGTAAAACAATCAACAGCTTCATTCATCAATATCTCATGGCCACCAGATGTTTCTTACAAAACTATCTGAAATACTGATCAAGTGTCTGTGAAGAGGGCATTCTAATCTGAAATGTTGACATAATATGAACTTTAGTAATTTAACGATTCATTGCTTATCTACGTGTTAAATCGTCACATGTTAATTCAAATCACTCATCTAGTGGTAAGACTATAATTTATGAACGATCTTTGAACGACGCTAAACTGACTTTGAGAATGTCTACCTACTTATTAGAACTAAATGAGGGTTATATAGCAGTTTAAAAAATAAGGATTATGATTTACAGTTGATAGCTAGGGTTAGGAATTAGGTTTGAGGTTCTCATCACGAACTGTGACATCAGCTATAATGCTAAAACGTTATTTAACCTAATGAATAAATGAACTTCGCGCCAAAATCCAAGACCTGTTACCGTATACGTGATTGGTTCATCCATAAATTGTAGTTTATTTCATTTGTACTCATGTTATATTGTTGATAATTTAAAGTTATTTCTACAATAAAATTGTACTTTCAGTTAGTTACTTATGATACGAGAAATATTGCTTGTTCAATTGGTGATTGTAAGAAGCAAAGTAATTTAGGCAATATTATACTATGTAACTATTTTCCAGGGTAAGTTACCAAAGATTTGGGTATATGATGATTATGTTTAATGTATTATTATTATTATTATTATTATTATTATTATTATTATTATTATTATTATTATTATTATTATTATTAGAGGGCAGTGACTTATCGATCGGACCAAAGACGCGTAAAACACGTGAGAACAGTCTAGAGTTCTGATTGGCCCTGCTTTCCGCTTAGCCCAACCAGTTAAGTCCTGAACACCAGTTTCAGCATCTACAATATGAATCCTTATATTTCAAACATACTGAGTTTATATACCAATCAAACAGACCACAACGTACCAATAAAATATGAAACAACATTTGTACAAGAATTGTTCAGATGTGGCTGTGAATGGGGGAGATATTAATTAATATACTGGGTATAACTCAAGAATGGTATAACGTATAATAATGGTTCATAAGTCAAAAATAAAGCTTATACTAAGAGGAACATGAATATAAATAGTTATTTAATAATTATACGATAGAAATATACGTTTAGTATTGATCCATAAAAGGATCCCAACGTTACCATTCATTATGTTTCTCGGGTCCCAACAGAATCCTTAGCACGAATTATTTCAACAAGTTTCTGTTATACGTTTACACGTATGGGATGTTAATTTAACTTAAACGAATATCTACACTAGATTCTTTCTCAGTGTCTATTCTACAGGACAACTCAGATGATCAAGAACACGTGATTAGCTTGATTAGAACGTAAATATATATTTCCACACCAAGAACCCGACACAACCCAACAACAATGAACAATCAATAATAATTATTATTATAAGGATAAGGGAATATATGACTCATCTCACACCTATCAAACTATCTACATATCTCACAGATTGAAATCATGAGTCAATCGAATTTAGACCACCAAAGGAAACCTGGAAGCACTGGACGGCTGTTCTGTCCTAGTATGGGACTCTTCAGCAGTGCGTACCCACGGTCCCGCCCCCCACGAAGTTCGAACCCAGGACCTATCGGTTTCGCGCCAAGCGCTTAACCAGCTAGACCACTGAGTCGGCATCCAACGGTGTTAATGTCTAACTTCAACCAATCCACGAAGTTGCGCCACCGTATACCATTGTTTTCAGTAAGCCGATATTTCACAACAGACCTGGCTGAACTCCACTGTTAACGACTTCTTACTGGAACTCCAAGAGTATCTCTTGAAGTCAGTTACTACATATCTGACTAAGCAAACAACTAATCATTCTCATTCTCACCCATACATCAGTTTCTTTCATAAAAAAAAGAAAAGAAAAAGGTGAAAAATAAAGGTCTGAATCTTTACAACTTTTCAATCATAAACATGTTTAACAAAACAGATTATTGACTAAGTTGACTCTAACAACCTGTTCGTCACAGAGTATATTAACTAGGTAAGGTATTATAGAACTTTAATACATTTGCTTGAGTGCATGGATTTTAATGTATTGATGTCTGGTTTTACTAGAAAATATACAAAGAGAAAGATGGGAATGAAGGGGATGGTTAATATCTGACAACATTTGTCAGGAGTTTGAAAGACTTTAGATGTCTATCCACAACCATATTAATAATGACCTCAAAAGATTCACCACACACCTTGCTAACTGCCTTCAGCACTCTCCGCAATACAGAAAAGTCTTCTCTCAAAAGCCCGGGAAAGAATAATGGAGAACAGTGAAGAGCAATAGGCAATATTCAGGAATTGATAAACTGTAAGAGTAAATGTCGAATAAAGTCAAAAACATGCAGCCTCTTTATGTAATAAGTCAGACGGAAAACTTTATTCGATAGCAGTAAGACATGAGAAGATCAAGAGAGATCATAAGAAAAGGTAACACCAAGATAATAGACCTTCGACAATGCGTTTATCAAAGAGTCTCCAATAACACAAGTACTATGGGATCTCAAAACGGTGTTTAGATGCTGTTCGTGTCTCAGGCTTGATATTCAGACAGATTAAGTATGAGACCATCAACAGCAGATCACCATTCAATACGAGACAAAAACTCATTCATTTCTATATGATGTAAAGAGGTAGAAGTCGGTATACATACAGCGAGATTGTCCGCATATTTCACAAAAGTATTTTTTGTGAAAGATGGCTGATCATGCACAAAAAGGGGAAAATAACAGCTCATTGTGACAGTAAAGATGTTGAATGCTTTCCTGCAAACACAGTGTACTGTTCTCTTCCAGAGAGGTAGGATATGCGCCACATAAATCATCCGATTTGTGTGAGGGCTGAGATACTGCTCAGGTGCCTAGACAGAAGCAGGTGGTTTTCTTGGGGAGACACACCTCGAGCCTTCGACCTAAATGTCTGACCCACAAGGCAGCGAAGCATCGTGAGGAGACGCAGTCTCATGATAGCCGGTGACCAACGATTGGTTCATACGCCATTTGTTCCAGCAGGATACTGGAGCCAGCCCATGTGCACTATTGGTTTGGGATCCTATTAAAGCGCTGGACATTCGCTTTTCGTCCTCTCAATTTCTTAAATAACACCCGTGGTGCGATAAGGCAGTGAGTAGGACTTCCCTGGCGTAGGCTGTATACGCGTAGCCATGTGAAAGCATTTCGAGAGGGAGGGTGGGATCTGAGCAAATGTGAAAACTACAGAGGCATTACACTACTGTCAATACCAGGGAAGGTCTTCAACAGAGTGTTGCTGAACCGGATGAAAGATGCAGTAGACGCCCAACTTCGAGATCAACAAGCTGGATTCCGTAAGGATCGATCATGCACAGACCGAATTGCAACACTACGGATCATCGTCGAACAATCAGTTGAGTGGAACTCGTCACTATACATCAACTTCATTGATTTCGAAAAGGCATTTGACAGTGTGGATAGGAGGACGTTATGGAAACTTCTACGACACTACGTAGTTCCTGAGAAGATTGTCAATATTATCCGGAACTCATACGACGGACTACAATGCAAAGTCGTGCATGGAGGACAGCTGACAGATGCATTCCAAGTAAGGACCAGAGTCAGAAAAGGCTGTCTACTCTCTCCCTTCTTTTTTCTTCTGGTGGTCGACTGGATTATGAAGACCTCGACATCTGAAGGAAAACACGGAATTCAATGGACAGCTGAAAATCAATTAGACGATTTGGACTTCGCAGATGACCTAGCCCTCTTATCGCGTACACACGAACAGATGCAGACAAAGACAGCCAGTGTGGCAGCAGTCTCTGCATCAGTAGGCCTCAGCATACACAAAGGAAAAACCAACGTCCTCAAATTCAAGGCGGAGAACAGAAATCCAATCACTCTTGATGGCGAAACTCTGGAAAATGTAGAATCCTTCACATACCTGGGAAGCATCGTCGATGTACAAGGAGTTTCAGATGCAGACGTAAAGGCAAGGATTGGCAAAGCAAGGGTCGCATTCCTACAATTGAAGAACATATGGAACTCAAAACAACTGCGTGTCAACCAATATCAAAGTGAGAATCTTCTATACCAACGTCAAGGCAGTTCTACTGTATGGAGCTGAAACTTGGAGAACTACAACAACCACCATCAGGAAGGTACAAGTATTTATAAATAGCTGTCTTCGCAAGATACTCAACATCCATTGGCCGGATACCATCAGCAACAGCCTTTTGTGGGAGAGAACAAATCAGCTTCCAGCTGAAGAAATTAAGAAAAGACGATGGAAATGGATAGGACATACATTACGCAAATCATCAAACTGCATCACGAGACAAGCCCTAACGTAGAATCCTGAAGGGAAGCGGAAAAGAGGAAGGCCTAAGAACACATTACGTCGGATAATAGAGGCAGATATGAAAAGGATGAATAAGAACTGGAAGGAGCTGGAAAGGATTGCCCAGGACAGGGTTGGATGGAGAATGCTGGTGAGCGGCCTATGCGCATTCACGAGGAGTAACAGGCGTAAGTAAGTAATATTTTAATTTTATTCATATCCCAAAATAATGACAACAATAGCAACATAGTTAATAAAATCTCAACATACTTCAATACTCCAGTATAAGTAAACGTTTTGACTCTTAAAGCTCAGAATAATACAGTGTAAGCTGTAAGTGCGATAATCTTATTGTGAGATAGTAGTTAGTAGACAATCGTCACAATGATCTAATGGTCTTATTGTCTTCTTTCTGTTATAGAGTAAGTATGAACAATCGACCAGATGAAGCTTATGAAGATGAATCAAATACGAATTCTTATACTGTAACAACTGAAGTTCCTCCAGAAACTACTTCTTATATGCTTGATCATGGACGATGTGAATGTATTTGTTAATAGGAACCGGTCAATGAAGAATGAATGAATTTTCAAATAAAATTATAAATGTTCAATGTAAAAACTTAATTTGATTTGTTTTAATTTTAAGATAATACAATGAAGTTTGATTGCAGATTCAGTGCACACGTACATACATAAATACAGGGAGTGTGTGTGCAAGAAAAAATAAAGGCGAGACCCTAATTTACGGACGACCTTTGAACGAACCTTAAGTGACCCTGAGAAATATCAACCAACCAGAAAACAGTTAGTATAGAGTAAAAATATATTATATAGAACCAAGGAAATAAAGTGGATACACTTTTTGTCAAAGTTAGAAAGAGGTTCAGAGGTTCTAAAATCGTAATGCTTGCAGTACAGGAAACCATCCATACGGTTACAGAATAGTCGGCCTCCGGAGCCATGATAATCTTAAATACTCTTTCAGCCTCGATCACATAGCTTCAATATTGTTTATATGCACTCCGGTTGTTGATTGCACAAAATGCTACTTGTGGATAAGGACACGACGCACATAACCAAGCATATGTAGGAATCTGTACGTTTTCCAAACATCCTTATATATTATAGTACCTGGCTGCATCCAGCGTTACTGGTGCTTTTATAATCCAGTTCTCAATAATTGTCGTAATTTGTCTTAGTTAGGGCTTTCATCACGAAGTGACATCAGCTATAATGCCAGAAATCTATTTAGCCAAATATGTGAAAGGCTTTCGCGTTAAAATCCGAGATCTGTTATCTTATACCTGATTGGTTCGTTCATAAATTATAGTCTCACCGATTTGTTTGTTATAGCCAATCAATTATCATATTTTGTACGAAATTCCCTGTGAACCGATCGTACGTTAGCATTAGGTACTGAAGTTGGCTCCGTAACCTTGAAATCTCTAAAGCGCTTCTGATTGGCTCGTCCATGAATTAGACTCTCGCCAAAATAAAATGTAAAGGCTAGATTGCAGTAAGACTACATAATCTATGTAAATCTTGTCATATTTGTCTTCATTGTTTATTCACGACAATACATAGCACTAATTATAATGCAGTACATTCATTTCAAAATCACTATCAAAAAGTCTAACCACTAAGAATGGACAATCAGTCATCAACGTAGAATCTTATACATATGTGTATTCATTTATTTGATATACCATATTTTCCATCTTTGTCTGGAAGATTGCATATCTGGTAGTTCCAAGAAAATTGCGTAGTACTTTGATAGCATAAATGATCAAAAACGCTCAATCTAAGCATATCTCCAACTTTGAAAGACTGAGTTTCACAACCATTAAATGTGAGAGAGTGGGTTCTTGAACAGGATATTCATCTTTTAACTGACAAACGAACATCTTGTCTACATTACAAGTGACGTGGGTTGGAAAACACTAATCGAGATTACTGAATTCGCGTAGAAAATGTCATCGTAAACCATCCCATCAGGGTTGATAGGAGAAATATTTACTTCGCTTGTTGCTAAGATTCTCGAAACTCAACTACCGACCCTTTTTGAATACAAACACCAAGTATAGACCTTATAATTACTACAGATTTTGTTCATTTGGATAAGACAGAGTTAGTTGAATAAACTCTCTGAATGTATTTTGTCTCACAAGGGTTGATTATACCCTGAAATTATTGTCATTTTCATTTTATTTAATGTTACGATATGTTGGAATATGGGATAATAGAATTTGTTACATTTAGTACATGAATACTGTGATGAAAATCACAATGCAATGATACTTTTATGTTGTTGACAAAACTCCTTCAATAAACAACCATAATTAACCAACATTTTAATTTTGAAAAGTATCACAATAGTGGCCCCCAAATGTCCTGGTATAGCCGAGGATGGCAAGAGTCTGCTCTCCCTCTCAAAATGCTCTCACATGGCCACGTGCATACAACCACTGCCAGAGAAGCCATACTGGTTGCCTTCTCGCAGTGGGGGTTTTGTTTACAAAATTAAGAGGACAAAGAACGAATATCCGTCGCTTTAACCGGGTTAATGAATACAAATGGTTCACCTACAGGAGTTGGAAAACTCTGACTACAAACCAATAATGTACATGGGCTCTAGGATCCTGAGGGAACGAATGGCATATGAAACAATCGTTGGTCACCAGCTACTATGGGACTGTATCTCCTAACGTTGCTCCACTGCCTTGTGGATTAGACCTTTAGGTCGAAGGTTCGGGGTGTGGCTTCTTAAGAAAACCACCTGCTTCTGTCTGGGCACCCGAGCAGTATCACAGCCCACACACAAATCAAGTGACTTATGTGGTGCATAAGTATTCAGTGCCCCTTTGTAACAGTATTTACGTGTTCAAATATAAAATAATCCCAAATAATAATCTCAATAGTTGTGAAGAGGAATAACTTAATTTTATCTTTACTACTCAATTATCTTACAAACTGACAATTTAATAACAACAGTAACAATATTATTAATATGTGATGAAAAGGAATGATTGGTTATTTACTTAGTCCAACTAGTAAATGGTGTGACATGTATTAGATATGTGATATAAATTGTTATATCCTAACAAAGAATAAATGAATGACAACTGCTAGGAATTATTTATGGACTGTCATTATACATATATTCGAAGCTGACATTGTGTTCTGAACTCAATGGGTAGGGTTAGGCGAGAAGAACCAATGGATACTCAGAGTTCAACACAGGCTGCTCGTATCGGTTAACATGGCATTGGTTTGGCATATGGCAATGGTCGTATATGTTGGTGTTCTGATTGGTGATTTTGTCATGTGATAATTGGCAGGGCAAAAGACAGCATACATCCTCCTAACTTTATTATTAACGACCGTTTCTGCTACAGTGATGTGGTGGTCGGGCTTGTCTATCACGATGAACTGTCGGGTTGTACTGGCTGAAAAAACCGTTCTTCAAGGTCTTACCATGTCAGGCAGGTAGGTTGAAAGACAATGAAACTAAAAGCAACAAACCGAAATTGTACTGCAGACTGCGCAGAGGTGTGATGACAGTAAGGTGTTTCCGACTGTGGGCAATCCTGACTACTGTGACACATGACTTAGAATCGATCACAAAGGTGTAGGTGTATACACTCTTTGTTTTGCTTTAAACCGTGAGATCAAAATTACTTCATACCTCTTTCTACGAACAAACTCTTTCTTCCTATATTATATCCTTATATGCAATCTTTCCTTTATATATTACTACCATTGAAGTAACTGTCTCTATGAATTTGGCATTCATCTTGTTGTGCTAATCAGGTGTGGCAACATGAGCCGATGGCTGGTCCTAACCTTTATTATTATTATTATTGAATGTTGACGTGCAGATGTACCCACGTCCTAGTCAGGTCAGTCATGTTTTCTCCAACTGAGTTGTGTGGAAGTCCTGTAGAAAAGACACTGAGAGTGTATCGTCTAAGACAAATTAGTGTTTCGTTAGTGTAAGGAAGAAAATCGAATATTATTTCACATACATCAATCGAATATTCATCTAAATTTTCGTACAATTTCATCATTCATTATCCAGCTGTAATAGATACATATTGATAATATTCATTCATATATGATTAATCAATATCGAATTAAATTTTTAGTGAAATTTATCTTTTAACACCTAGAGAACATCATAACCCTTGTAGTGTAAAGAAGAAACAATAATTGTTTGTACTTTATTCTTATTTACAACTTATTATCTATCACCATTTCTCTAATAATATAAGAATATTAGATAGTGTATCAACAGAAGGTTCAATCAGTCAGTCAGTCAGTAACAAAGAACTTCGTACGTACGTACATCAGTTCGAGTTGCCATACCACATTAGCAGAGATGCAGTTGTCGATTCAAATGCCGTAGTGGTAAAGGTAGTAAATGTATAAGCAGTTATTGTAAAGTACTAGAGAAGAATACAAATATGCTATGAACATATATGAACAAAATATGCGATGTATTCAGTAGTAGATAAAGTGAATTTTACAAGCTACTATTAAGTGATAAAGATTATTAATGAAGTGAAATAAAACTTATAAATTCAAATCTATTAAATTTTATGGATAGATTTTTTATGCCGAAAACAGTTATGCGTATAACTGCAAAACATTTGTATAATAAGCAAAGATAGATAGTGACTAGCAGTGGAATCCAGGACGTGCGTTTCGTCCTATTTGGAACTCGTCAGCTGGATGTGCATGCATCTCAGAGTTGATGTTCACTCTGGAATAATTTTTTTTCTATAATTAGAATGATAGGATTGAAGTTTTAGACCGATTGTCAGAAATCAATTGTAATCGAAAATATCGACCATTTTAATTTTGATCTAACTTACCTAAGTAGCAAAATATACATGTGTATGGATTGAGAAAAAGAGTAAGGCGGTGTCTTTGGAGTAAAGCAATATATATATATCCTTTTAATTTGTATGCTGAACTAATTACGAATATTTGGTAGAAGTAAAGATGTCATGGATAGGTAATGTTTGACAACGCTACTGTTCGAGACCACTTCTTATACAATCATCCCAAAGTTAATCAGACCAGATATCAAGAACGAAGGCATGCTTAGATATACTTGGATATTGGTTTATCTGTTGGATTGTAAGTAATCTAAGCTGACTTAGAGCAACATGGTATATCCAAACATGATCTAGTGAAGATGCTTGACCGAGTACCTTTAGTTAAGAGTGTGTCGTTCAATAAGGTCAGTAATAATGTTCAAGACTAGCAAAACGAGTTATTTACCGGTAAAATACGAAAGGAAATCAATGGAACTTATTACTTTATTCAAACACATAAACATTGATCAAAGAGGCACTAAACAGATGTGTGCCACATAGATCAATTGATTTGTCTAAAGGCTGTGATACTGCTCGGGTGCCCAGACAGAAGCAGGTGGTTTTCTCAAGGAACCACACCCCGAACCTTCGACCTAAAGGTCTAATCCACAAGGCAGTGGAGTAACGTCAGGAGATACAGTCCCATGGTAGCAAGTGACCAACGATTGTTTCATA